ATTCCCAAACGTCTTTCCAGAGAGTAATCCATCCCAAAAAAGTTTCTTTTGGCTTCTCTGAGAGCCACATCACCAGTGTTTTTATTCCCGTCTGTTCCTTTCTAACACCTCGAGTTCTACCAAATAAAAATCAGCCTCTGGCACAGCTCTATCCATACAGCTCAGCTTCTCTTCAGCATCTCACGTGGACAGTGTTCTCACCAGTAACTCAGTTATTTTACTTTAAAAAAGAACCGCTTTTTATATTCTCTTCCCTGAAAGGTACTCATAGCATCAACTCCCATAAAAATGTACCCTGCCTCTGTATATTACCACAGATTAGTGATTGATCAGAGACCAACAAAACCATTTTGTGTTGATTTTTTTCTACGTGCATCCCAAGAACAGTAAAGGTACTTTGATTTTAGCACCTTCAGTCTTAAAACCATAGCACTGATTTTGCTTTGCAGCCTTCTCTGTGGCTAGCGCAAGTGTAAACTTTAGGTTATTAGCCCCTGTGGCACTAACATAAAAGGAGTACCAGGCCGCTCTCCTGATGTAAAGCTCAGATCGAGCAGTAGTCAACCATTCATTTTCTCCACAGGTGAAATTAGCTCCCTCAATTCTCTACATAAATTTCAAGAAATATCCAGCTAATTGCTTCAACGGAGCAGTTAGATGTTGCCAAAAGTGGTCCCATAAAGGCCTCCAACCAGCAGGTATCAAGATCTTGTGTAACCCAGTGAGTTGGCCTGTTAGGTTCAGCTCAAGAAAACTGTGATCATTTGACTACTTCCCATAGAAATCGGTCTTCACTTCTTATTTGCAGGAATGTAAAAGGTGACAATAGGTAAAGAAGCACAAAGTAGAGTAATTGTTCTCACGCAGAGATCTTTTGTATCAAGTTTCATCCTAAAATGACTCTCTGCATTCAAGTTATAATAGATAACAACGCATACATATAATGAATCATAGATACTTACAATGGGAAACGCTAATAAAATATCAGCCCCAATTCCATCACCAGCTATGCTCTAATGCAGGATACAAACAGATTACTTGTATTACATTAAAAAACACAAAGAAAATCAAAAGTGTAATGGTTGTTACCTTATTAGCATAAAATTAAACCACCTGAATGCATAATTAACTGAAAATATTAAGGGATTCATTTTTAGAGTTCAAAGAATTCCTTAAATTAATGCGTCTTTTAGGCAAATTTTTCTGTCACTCTGAAGAGTTTTCTTCACTGCATGTTAATGCTTTGAGGTTAGAAAACACGAACTAATATTCATATAAAAGCCAATATCTGAAAATAGCACAGAACAATAACTGCAAAATGCCATTAGCATATTTATATTTCAAGTTCCATTTATGTCTATAATTAAGTATATAAACAATCATAACTCTTGCATAAGATAACATAAAATTAAGTATACATATAAAATATAAAACCAGAACAGAGTGCTGCCGGTGTTGCATGTGTTATCCACAAAAAGACAGGATGATAATGCTTAATGCTACTATAAGATATATGAAAATTGATTCCAGCAATTGCTCTATTTCATAATATAAGCAATTTCAGTCTCAAACTCTGGCAGAAATACAGTCTGTGCAACATTTCATCATCTTATTTCAAATGAACTATAACACGATTATGTTTGTATTTTCACAGATAAAACTGAACAAATCAAGGGACACTAGGCTTTAAATCATTCATATGTAGGGTTTATTAAACTATTTTTAAAAGAGGCAATGTAAACAAAGTATTTTCCCCCTATGAAGTTTCTTTAGGCTCATTACAGTTCTTATGCGTGTAATTTATACTAATGTCAGTGTTTTTGTGGATCATTCACACAGAAATAAGTGACAAACAGTCTTATTATAGGAAAATTAAACAGAATTACAAAACCGCAAAAATTAGCTTTATTCACAAAACAATCAAACATACTTCCAATTTTTTTTAATTGATTGTGTCAAGGATTTTCATTTATGAGTTCTTATAGTGTCTCATCCTCCCTGTAACAGCAAATAACAAATGGTGGGGGACAGGGTGCAAGAATTATAATTTTAATGAGATTGAGCAAGTAATAAAAGCTGGTGAATTCCCAATACTGATGATGTCACCATTAAAAGTATTTCCCTCCTCTGAAACTTCGCATTACTTCCACTGAAGTCATGTTCTTCTCCGGAACGGTAGGCTACTTCACAGTATGTGCTGCTCATAAAGGTTACTTTCCAAGAGACAATAATAAAAATTCTTAAATACAAATAGTACATGTTTATGCTATAGATAATGCCTTGAAAGATTAATACAGAAAAGAAGGGAGTTTTATTCCTGTGCCTTCCTCTGCCAAGCCAGGTTTTTATCTACGGACCTTGGTCACAATGGCAGTCAGTAACAATTCTAAAAAAACCAAAACTGTAGAAAGATTGATTTCTTGCAGAATTCAGTAACTTAATCTGTTAACACTCCAACGTCCTTGTTTCCACAGACATCACCACTCTGCAGTAGTAGTAGCATACATATGTAGAAAGACCTGATGTTACATGTAATAGCAAAAATTATCTGGATCTCATGTTGCCCTTTTGCTTACTTCAGTTTACACTTGCCGCACAAAGGATAATGAGAAAGATGACCTCAGATGACCAGACCATTCTTCTTCTCATACCACAGAAAATGCAGACATATAACACTCATGAATCATATGAAAGAAGCAGAAAAAGTGAACGCATGCCGTTCACCAACAAACCTGATCAACACAGCCAGTGCCATCTCTTCTAGAGACTGGCAGATGCCCACCCGAGACATTCATTCAACTGCGGTTTAGCAACCCTTGTGCAGATTGAGCACATCTCTTCAGGATGAGAATGGACGCTCTGGATGTGATGTATTCATGCAAAAACAACTGTGCAAATAGGGCTGATGTTGGGTTTGGGGGTTTGTTCCTGTTTCTATGTATCTTTCTTTCTCTCTTAACCCATTTTTTGTTTTCTTTACACTTAATAAGCCAAGGGATTCAAAAAGACCAATCAAACCTCAGTTTTGTCCTAAAACCTTGGTTCTTCAAGTAGTCAGTCCTATGGCAACAACTTTCATTTTAGCCCAATCTTCAAAGGAAACTACAGTTATGGGACTGTGCTGTCCATACAGAAGCATGCATATTTATACTACAAAATTCTTCTAGACCTTTTGAATTCAACTGATTTCAATTAAAATGAGAGGTTAACAGCCTGAAAGAAACGAAGTTCCTACAACTTTGATGAAAACAGCAGAGAAGAAAAATGCTACTGATAATTCAGTGATTTATGCAGAGAGCACAATCAGTATCAGGCACTGGGGAACCCACCTGGGAGAGCACCACCATGAATGTCTCTTCTGCAAGAAAGGCTTCACATCTGCAATTGTTTAGAAACAAGAAAGCCCACAGGAAATGAGGCTTTACTAACCACGCTGTTCAAAAAACTATTTATAATACAATATCCACAAGAAAGCTAGCTTCTTATTTGTTAAGCCATTTTTAATTTGTGGATTTCTTTTTCCTTGCAACTGAATTGTCTGATTCTGATAGCTATATGCACTTCACTAACTTTTTAGACACTGATATGCATTCTTTAACGATTCTCAGGAGTTTTGACTTTGTTTCCCTGCTTCAGTTCCCTTGCAGGGCAGAACATGCACCACAGTACGGATTTCAATGACTTTTGTGCCCCAGGGGCTCACGGGCTTGCCCATCTCTTTTTACAATAAATGCAAACAAACCATCAGTTAGCAGACAGCTGCAACATCCTTCCAAAAGAACAACCTTTAAAAATATTGTTTACTTGTCTGAACACAAGATATCCTTCTATCTTTCAAAATAAGTGACTGATTGATGGGTACGCAAAAGCATTTGTTTTGACAGAATCAGACTGACATCAGTTTTCATGTTCTCTGCTGTCTGAACAATATCAAGCTGATCAGATTTGTAATTCTCCTGAAGCACATCAAACCAAGCAAAAAAACTACAGTCTTTCCTACACTGACCTTGTTGATTTGTCCAATGTAAGTTAGTAGCAAATTCAACTATGATAAAAATCCATTGTATAAACTGCTTTCTACAACTCCTGAAATACAGAAATCACCTAGCTTCTTACAACTTCATTTGGCAACAAGATGAGCACAGATCAGAAGTGAGCTACAACTTACTCACCTGTCATTTGCTCTTTAACTGTTTTTATGTTTTCCAAATTGGCTGTTGCAGAATGCTAGCTCTGACCGAATAGTTAATCAAGAAGGCACCAGGCAATAATATTCAAGAAAATACATGAATTTATATCCAAGTGCAACTGGCAACCACTGACCCTACAAAATGGCTTTTCTTATGCAGCTAATTACAGTAGCTTTTATAGTAGTGTGGAAGAAGTTGGAGAGCCTGCATCTATCTTGCAAGAAAGATGACCACAACAACTGTATGCTTCAATTATTTTTGCAGTCACATGCAATTTGAGATCACATGATTAGGTACACTATTCAACCCAATTCCCAAAATCAACAGAAAGCATATACAACTGATTTATATGCACGTTGAATAAGGCCCCAGACAGATTTTAATGGCCACGATTGTGATATAGGTTGTGCTGAAGTACCTTACAATCCTCTTTTCTGGAAAGTAGAGCATTTTAAAGTAAAGATGTGGCTGAGGACATAAAATCCTTCTGGCAAAACCTTACAGCATTTAAATATGCAGAGAGATACTGATTATGTTTTCTTACACTGTACTTGCATAGGACTTTTCTTGGTTTTGATACTTGTCAGATCTATCGCATAGTATAAGGAGAGAGCCTCTGCATCTTTTCAAGACTTTATACTCCACTGACACACATTTTTTCAACATAGGTATTTTAACTGAGAATAGCTGAATTCTGAAAACTGTAATTTAAAATACATGTTATTTTAATATTTTAAAGGTACTTGTGTTTTATTCTTCTTTATAAAAGTAAAAATTCATCTCCACATACTTAAAATGACAGAAAGTTATATTTCCCTTCTCTCAGGAAGCCATTTCAAAATAATATAGAACTGATTTGCAAAACCTGTTTAACCCACTGTTTTCTACTGTGCCTGAAGTACTGTATGTGCTACACATGAAAGACTCATTAAGAAGAGCTTTTGCTACTGTCTTATTAAATAAGCCTTGGTGCATAAAATAACATGCAACATATGTATTTGAGACACTCCATATTACGAAAATTACCAAACTCCTTAAAAACTTAAAAAACACTCAGCCTACAACCGGTTATGCATTTGATATCTCAAATAGTAAAACCTAAAAATCTTAGTAGTTTGCTTTAGTTGCTTTTCTATTATACATAAAGAAAGAGGTATGATCTCATGGTCTGAGTATGAACCTGGAAATCAAAATGTCTTACATAATCATTTGCCAAACCACACTATGGGAACTAACCAAATTGTACCAGCCTTCCTCCAGTACAAAGGAGATAAATTAATTTACACTGAGTTGATCAAATGTATTTGGTTAACAAAGAATACCTAATACATTTGGCTTCTGGGAGTGAGTTTTAGAGAGCAGTAAAGCCCATGTTTAGCTACATACTAAAACCAATTGAAATGGCATTGCTAGTTACTGAGAAACTCATTAATTCAATATTTTTACTACTGGACAATTTATCCAGTCTTGCTAGAGAATGGTATCAGGTAAAATAGAAACCAAAGGACATTAATAATTATAAGAAATAAGTATCCAATTCTCCCTAGGCAAACAGAACTTGCACAACTGAATTTGTAAAAATTATGTATATAATTTGTAACATTATACTGAAGTAAAACACAGACTAGTGATAAAAAAAATTTATAGGCTGGCCAAGGCCACTGACCAATCAAAAAAAAAATGCTAAAAGTCAGGAATTTTTAATAGGGAGTTATAACTTACCAGCTTCTCAAATGACAGAAGACTTGACAGAAGTCTTGAGAGACAGAGGACTGAAGTCTGTATATATACTGCTCTGGCAGTTTAATTGAATCAAGATATTTAAAGATGCACAGTCAGGAAAACCGGATAAAGTGCAAAAAGGAATCTGTAAACTATCAAAGAAAATATTACGAATGGCTTTACCTTAGCTTTTTAATCCATTTAAATTCTCCACTTGGGTGTTTTTATACATTTTAGAATAAAAACTAACATTCAAAAAGACACTTCTAAGTTTTTTCAGGCGCCAAGTGACATGAGCTTTTTCTTTAAATCAACAGTCTAGCATTTATAGTCAAATAAATGGAGAAGAAAAAGTTAGAAGATGAACACCTAAGGGATATTAAGTATATGCTGCACTCAAACATTCAATTCTGTTTGCTATGCTTTTTAGAGAAATACCTTCATATAAGCTTTCAACACAAAATTAATCATGCTTTCTAGCAGGCCATTATGAAAAAACACTACCATGAGAGGTAAAAACCAAAACACTGAAAAACAGGCATTGCAAAACAGAGTCTAACTAGAAGACTATTATTTTAACATGATGTCTTCCCAATCTCTCATGCTTGCCATGCAATTATCGCAATTAACTCTGCATTCCTTGGAAAAAGTTATCGATACATAAATGTCAAAAAATTATCAATTCTTAATGTATGAATTGCCTTCTCCTTCTTGCAAGAGGATGGCTACTTCTGGGATTTTTTGTAGAAAAGCTTTAATGTTGTTTGCCAAATCCGTCCTTTCATCTTCCATCAGCATCTGCAGTCAACTACTGCTTTGGTCAAAGGGTCCAGTGTTTTCTTTTAATTTTAAGAGAGGAGGCACAAACTCAGAGAAAAGAGTTGTAAGTCCTGCAGTTTCAAATTCCTTTTGTAGCTCATCCAGTGTTGAATATTCTTTGACTTCAAACGTCTGAAACCTACATTGTAAAAAGGAAACTCATGAATATGCCTAGATTTGTCAGAATGTAATTATCGATTCTGTTACTTTTCTATCCACAACAGTACTAAATTATACCTTTTATGCTGTGACTGTACTTTTGTCTCACACAGTACACTAATCATTTTCTCTTTGCATTTCTTTCCGCTTGAGTCCACATCTACCTTAGAAGTTTTCTGAAGAATTAAGTACTCCTGAATGACAAAAAAGAACAAAATATTAAATGTCACCTAGTATCTTTGAAGTTTAGTAAAATGCAAAAATCCATATGAAACACAGAGATTTCTTTCAGAACATAGCAATCTAACTTTGAAAGTGCCCATCCCATCCCAGAAAGTGCACGACTGTTTCTATTCATCAGCTTGAAGTTAAGCGCAGTCTTAAGTGATCTAGACAACATGAGTTTGAAAAGCCTAAACATTCTCCTCCAATATCACCACAAAAACCTGCCTAATGTACTGGGAAGTTCATAAGTACAGACAAGAAGTTCAAAACCCGGGTGTGCACTAGGAGCACCATGTTGCCTAAGTCAAGTAAAGAGACAGTAATGAGCTAGAAATATGTCTGTTACTAATTTCTCATCACAAATTTTCTGTTTTCTGGGGCATTTGGGAAATACAGGAGACTGAACCTAGGCATATTACAGTCATGAAACACAGGAAATGCAAGGGTATAATTACAGTGGGAAGCAAAGCAATACAGGCCACAGGTCTACAGGTATCACTGGTTTCTTTCTCACAGAATACCTTATTTTTCTTAAATACAGAATAAAGTTGTTGGGCCTTCCTACCCTCCTAATGATCAATCTGCTTCCAAAATTGTTAATCTTAGAAAAACACACACAAAATATTCAGACACATAGGTTTCAGTGGTAAATCGATAGAACTAGTCAACATTCATTGTTTCTGCACCTTAATGTTGCTCCTGTCACCCTGAAGAAGAATCAGTATTATCTTGCCCATGAACATCAGTCTTCCAGTCAGCCTTAGATCTGAAGCCCATTTTTCCACAGTTTTGACGTACTTTGCCTTTGCTCTCATGTGATCTAAATGCAAGAAGAGCATCCAGATACCATCCTCTGTACTTGTTCTTTTTGACAAAGCAGTTTTTTCCTTGCAAACTGTTGCTGATTGCTTAATAACATATTTAAGATGCTGCTGTATCCAAAGAATCAGATCATGTACCATGGGTTCAGGAAGATGCTTCTTTGCTTGTTCAAGTAATTTATCTTTCACGTCCATACACTGGGCCCTTGTAAGCTGGTCTGAGTTAACAGAAATATCTGGTAGAGTTGATGGATAATTGACTGGTAAATGAAATAACAGCTTTAAAAGTACATCTGTATCCAGCAGTTCCTTCACACTGATTTGAATTCTAAATGTGATTCCATGAGTCTCTGGAAAGTATCAAAAAATAAACATTAATAGTTTGTTTGAAGTTGAAATACATATATATTATTAAGTCATGTTATTTTCTTTAACAATTCAACTCAAATGACTGCCATTCTATATAAAATAAGGGGTGTGGGGGTTTTGCAGAGTGGGGGGGTTGCAACCAATGGCTCAAGCTATACTTGCAGGGACTCTTGAAATGAAACACTTCCATATCATACTAGAAGGAAAGTTATTAACACATTCTAAAAAGTATTCACACCTTTTGGCTCTTTCAGAGTCTAGACAAGCCAGTAAAAAAGAACTGTCTCTCTTAAAAACAGGTAAGTCAGGTTCTACAGCTCAACAGCAGCAAGTACAACTGAAAATAGAGACTTTTCTGGATGGACTCAGCACTGCCCTAACTTTGCTCCTAGAGAAATCTGTAAGACTTCTAACATCAATACCAGCATGAGGCAAATAGATTTGTACTGAGTATTTTTTAAGACAACCATTCAAAAGTAGTTCCACACTAAAGAGAGACATGGAAAGAAAAAAGTCAGATTCTTTGTCCCCTACAACTTTCAGAGAAAATATGCTTAATTCTTTTCTGCCAACTTCTCTACATTTACAACAGTTGGATTGACATAATGAAAACATCTCTGTTGTACATCTGCCCCTAGGTGCTACATACATATATATATATATGTGCATATACTTATATAAATGTATCTGTATATATCTGCGTATCTACTCAAAACTTGTTGTTGGTCTACTTTAGAACTGAATTATTTTCAGAGTGAAAAGGATAGATACAGTATGCAGCAGGAGGGGCAGAAGACCACATCTTCCTGACAAATGACATAATCAAAGACACTGAATATGAAAGTTATGTACAGTAATTCCTGCAATAAAACCTTTCTGACTAAAACATGTTTCACAGAAAAACAATACAAAACTTCATAAAGTGAAAAGCGAGGACAAAGACCTAACCTACTTTTGCTCCATGAAGAAAGAGGGTATCAGATAAAAGATGATCTTCTTAGATGGTCTCTGCTTCACCCCTTTGACATGTTCTAAACACTTCACACCTTTTCTTTAAAAAATTGCTAAAATGTCAGGTTGATTCATACTATGAGGGCAGAAGCCAGATTTAAAAGGCAGATTAGAACAGAGCTGAGTTTCAGAGGAGCTCTTTTGAAGTGACTTGCCTTCTTCTCCCCCTGCCTTATCTTATCTTCCTTTACATGACAGTCAGTTGAATTATCTTTGATTAGTATTTCTGATGCTGCTAACCAACCTCAGTGCTTTCTATGATTTTATATTTGAACCCTACTAAGTAAGTGAAAGAACCTAAAAGTGACCTGGACAGACAGAAGCACTTTAGAGAGCTTAGCCAAGCAAGGGCTTGTTTCCAAACCTCCTTCCTGGGTCATACGAAGAACTCTCTAGCTCAGAACAGTCACAAAATAGAACAGGCAAACCTCCCAGACCCAGTAATAAAACTCTAGCATTACTATAAAGAAGTCTCCAAACATCTACAAACCATCACTACCTAAATAGTCAAATCCAGTGAATTAAATTAAATTACACCCAACCATGCTCATACCTACAGACACTACATATCATAGCTTCATTCCCTGCCAACATAAGTTGGTCTCCAGTCGTCTAAGACACTATGAAAGGTTCAAGACTATTTTTAAGGCAATTTTATTCCTCAGAAATGCACCAGCCTTGGAAGAGACTCCAGTCTCCACAGCGCCCATCTGGCAGCACACGGCCCTCGCTCAAGCCTCCCTGTTCCAATCTCTGTCTTCTGCTGCCCTGACAAACGTTTCTTACTGGGCACCAGCAACAATAGCTCCTCTGCCATTACGCTAGGCTCGGTACACAACCACACACACAAGAAGAAAGGCCTGCACTGCACCTCCTGGGGCCGCCAGCATCCTCTTGGCCGCCATGGAGGGCTTCCGCACACACCTGAGCATTGCACTGCACGCAGACAGTGCCTGCCAACCCGTCTCCCTCCAGCTGCCTCTTACACAGGGCAGCCCCACCAGGTACGCGGCCAGCTGCAAGCAAGCTGCATTTGGCTGAAGCCTATTAAAGTTAATATACTCCTGCCCGTGAATCACTTTATTTTAAACTATGTTGTCAAGAAATTTAAAAATGCACAGCTTACAAATGAGTTGAAGAATGCTACTCTGTTGCCAGCTTAATTACAGCAACAGAAAAACATCTTACCTTTCTGATAATCCTCCTAGTTTTTTTTCACTAGCTTGTCATAACAGATCTCACCAACTCAGAAGTAACTGCAGCATAAACAGACAGGCCAACTTTGTCCCTTCGGCAAGGGCCTCCTGCTGCAGTGATCATATTCTTAAGCCTGCAACAATCTCACACCTATCCCTGTGATGATGAACTAATCCGAAGGAAGCGGTGCAGCCTCGCATCCCAAGGTGTCTCACCCTGAGCCATCGTAAAAAGCCCAGCTGTGCTCATTTACATCTGCTTCAGACTTACTTCTAAAAAGAAGAATTGGTTCAAAACATTTGTGGGGCTACAGTGTCTAAAGTTTATTTAAACATTCCAGCATCCATTTTCTGCACCAGCGCTGCAGACGGCTGGCAGAACAAAGAGCAAACCACCATTGCCCTGTATAACAATGCTCTAAAGAAATATTTCCTTTGTTTGCACACACTACAAGGTCTGAGTTGTCTTCATAGCGAAATGGTGATTATTTCTGAAATAAAAGGTTGGGTATGACCGTTCTGCTGGCATTTAATGTGCTAATGAGACTAAACTCAATACATGTTAACTCATTTTCCCCCATAGCTGCATGCTTATCAGTATATTTAGCTCTAGCATACTTCAGATTTTTTCTTATGTTCCACGTCAACCAGATATCCCCCTCCTCTCCTGCCCAAAGGCACTTTATGCAACACATGCAGTCTATTTTTAAATTCAGAAAATGGCACCTACTAATGTACAAGCTTAGAATATATAAATATATTTTTATAGCATGCTTGGTGAGCAAACCAGAAGAGAACAGATTAACAAGTAAATTATGGATTTCTATCTGTAACGCTAACCTTTATAAATAGATATGTAAGGTAAAAAAGATATGCTGTAATTAGTTTATTTAAATTCATCAACACATTGGTTTTGATAAAAACATATTTTACATTCTGAATACTTCATTGTTAAATTCCAGAAAGCCAAAGTTTTTAGCATACCAAGATACCTGCAAAAGCACTTTCTTACATTCCTCAAAACCATAAATCCCCAATGGCCTCCTTTTTGATCCTGTGGATCTACACGCAAATCACTCTTAATGTATTAGAGATAGCATAACATAACAGTCTTACTGGAAGTTACTTCTGTGCACCATTTGTCAACGATAATTTATATGGTTTGAAGAGATAAAGCAAATGTAAGCTAATGAATACAGCAAAAGTTAATTGTATACAAACTAAGGGATTCTGTAGCTCCAACATAAAAGAGAAGTAAATTCCCAAAGTAAGAAAACTACCAGTAATCATTGTTGTAAATAATCTTTTCAATTCTAGCAGAAAACGATGGAAATCAAGCAGATATGCATGATCCTAACATATCATGAACATAGCCTGGCTAAAGGCCCTGCAAGGTCACATAACATCAATATAAATATAACAGCCTGTTCCCATTGTGCTCTTGTGGTGCTTCACTTTATGTTCCAAAAGCTTTTTAAGCCTTTTACATCCTGGTAACTTATAAACACAAAATCATTTTTCTGTATGTGAAGCACAGAAGGATGTGCGAATAATTCTCTAACAGATTTGGAGGAACAGACATGCATATGCAATGTTCAGATACGCTCACATTTTTTTAAATAAACATCTGTTAAGCCTGGATCCTGTATTTTCAAACTATGCCTGAAATAACATTCCTGAACTTTTTGACTTTAAGAAAATAAAACTCAGTTGAAACACTTCATCAATAGTATTTTAAAAATACAACTCTACATACCAATCAAAAAAATAAAATGGCAGAATTACCTGCCTACACTGGAGCAAAAGGTGTGTCATGCAGATCTAGACACAAAACAATTCTGCTTTTAGATTACCACAGTTAACTGTGCTCCACGCAGACACTAATGTCTTCATCCCTCTGAGGCTGTCTACACACAAAGTCCTCTTTTCAAATAACCACCTGCTGTTCTGTGCAAATCTATTTCAACAACTATTTTCAAATAAAAATTTGAGGTTTATTCAATTAATTTCTTAGTAACTTTTTAGCTAAATCGAGTCATTCTAGAGCAGCCACGTGTAATTTCACACCAAAGCAGCACAAAGTTGTTTTCACAGAATCACAGAATAGTTGAGGTTGGCAGGGACCTCTGGAGATCATCTTGTCCAACCTCCCTGCTCAAGCAGGGTCACCTACAGCAGGCTGCCCAGGGCAATGTCCAGACGACTTTTTAATATCTCCAAGGACGGAGACTCCACCACCTCTCTGGGCAACCTGTTCCAGTGCTCGGTCACCCTCACAGTTAAAAGCGTTTCCTCATCAATCCCAGTTATTTTGGGCTGAATACATAGGCAGACAAAATCTGATGGCAGGCCACTAGATCATTTTTAATAGCATTCTCCAGGACTTTACTGCAGTCCAAACAGCAGGAAGCTGCTTGCTGTCTGTCACTCCACTGGGGAGCTGGGCAGCACGCTGCAATAGCTCCCAGGACACCAGGGAACAGTAAGTGATACAGAATATATGCATATTCTGTGTGTTTGTGTGTGCATATATCTATTTCCAACAAATAGATAGGAGAGTTGTCACATCTGTGGTAGGCACTAAGCAAAATTTACTTATGCTCTGGATCTGAAGAGACATGCAACACTTGCATATCCCACCTGATGCTTTCTTTAAGCGTTATAGTAACTGCTGTTGTACACTGGAACTACTGAGATTTATTCTCCCTTGCTGAAGGAGCGTCTTCACAGCACTGTGACGGCACAGACTGATAAAGGTCATCTCTTAAAAATTATGTTCTTAGCAGCAGCCACCATGGCTGGTGCAGAAAACATGGAGTAAAGATGTCTACACTTACTGCGTTCCTAGCCTACAGCATCCAGCAGCTGATGGGAGCATGCACTACAAATCTCACCTTCCCACTCGCAGCAAACATGAAAGACTAGTCTTGGTACCCTGTAAAACCTACAGCCATACACATATTGCTGAAGCTGGAGACCATTCGGCACATCACAAGGACCAGATTATTACTGTACACCCAGAAGACAGAGATGACCCAAGGCTTCTCATGCATAGCAACAGCTGCACCCCTGTTAAATATTACAGGATAAATACCTGGTCTTGTTACACGTATGAGACGCAACTGCTTATTTACCTAAATCGCAGCCAGCCCATTCCCACTGCTGCCCTTTGCCTACTGCAAGTTTCTGCACGCACTACAAACAGCTGTAATTAAGAACGTCGCTAATTATAAACGAGTAAGACCCGCTACAGTTTGTCCCCTGCTGAGGCCAGCAGCAAAGACACGCGGCAGGCCAGCGACAGGCGAGAAGGCACCCATCTTTAGCGCTGCCGATAATAGCAAGCGATTAAGCCGGTGACTGCCCCACCGGTGGCAGAGCCCCACCGTGAGCGGCCCCGGAGCGCCTCCTCTCGGGGCCGGGCCGGGGGTAGCGCGCCCGGGGCACGGCCGCGCTGCCGGTGCGGAGCAGCGGGAAGAGCCCCGTCTGAGGCGGCGCCGCCGCGCCGGGTCTCGCTCGGGCAGCGCGGCGAGACCCCGCCGAGCGGAGCGACCCGCGGCTCTCGGCAGAGGAGCGCGGCCGCCTTCACCTGAGACCGCCAGCACCTCGCAGGCGTCCGGCTCGCAGTAGATGGCGGCGAGAGCCGAGAGCTCCTCCAGCGCCGGCTCCAACATGGCCGCGGCTGCGGGCGCGGGCCGGGGCGGCGGCG